TGAATGGAATAATATTGTGGGACTTTACTATATTATATAAGATGTGATGGATTTGTAAACGTACATTCTTTTAAAATGTAACATAAGACACTCAAATATTTAAAAGTCTTTTGTCACGTGTTAATCTAATTATACGTAGATAATTGAAACACGAAAATGTTTTCGCATCTGTTATTCCTATGATCTAAATTAAGAAAAGAAGTCAAAAAGTATTTTGTATATGTAATTATAATTGAAAGACTATTTGTTTACGGCAAAATATGCCATGAAGGTTTTTTTGTCTTTTTGATACTTCTATTTCGTCATTCTAGTAAAATGACAAATACATGCATGAAGAAATTAGTCGAATTAACATACGTGCTCTATATAGAACACGCATAAAACAAAGATTTAAGAAAAAAGATATTTAATTAGTACTTAATATATTCAAGTAAACAATAAAACAACAAGAGAAGTTTTTATTTCTTGAATATAAAGCTTTTTGCTACTCCAAATAACTATCCTAAGTTTTCTTTTAACTTGGCTAAGAAAAGGTAGAAATGAAAATTAAATTCCTAGTTATAAATTAAGTGGTAGTGGTTTACTGGTTAAATGATTCACTTTGAGTGTTCTTTTTGGACAGAATTCTGTGATTTTAATTATTTCTAGCCGCCATCTCTGGTTAGAGAAAAATAGTCGGAATCTGAGAAGAGAATCTGTAGTTAAATAAAATTAAAATCTGTGAAATTTATAACAAATCCGTTTAAATTATACGTACGTTGGTATGCTATGTTAACGAAATGTCTGTATGATTATCTGTCTCTCATTCTCAGCCGTTCAATGTGGACACAATGGGCCCCTTTTCTCTCTTTTGTACTAAGTTCGTCACAAGTGGACACCTGCTTTTAGTTATTGATTAAAAACTTATTATTGAATTAAAAACTTATAAGCATTTGATTAACAATCAATACATTAGTTAACTAATGGTTATAGTGTGAAATATACTTGAGTAATTATGGGTTCCACTTTGAATTTAAACACTAAGTTCCCAATCAAAGATGTACAGATCTGTATGCTTCTTTTGAACTCGGTAAAAAATGTAAACATACGACTAGAGTAAATTAAAAGTGTAATCTTTCTATTAACAATTATAAGTTTATATCACAAGTTTAAGTCAGGCTATGTTCTCTTCAACATTTCGGTGTTGGTTTACTCGAGTTGGAGATTAATTGAAATGTTAAACTAACTACGACAAATTACTTTGATTAACTGTTAATTGGTTTAAGGTTAGAAATTCATGATTCTTCAAAACACATGTACATTATTAAATTTGAAAATAGATTGTGACACGATAACAACACTACTACTAAACTAAAGTGATATGTTTCCGCAAACTTAGTTGCTTACGAACAATTTGGCTAACATTTGATTTTGTAAAAAATCATCGTGAACCAAAAAACTTCTCGTGAACAAAGTTTTTCTTACCATAACTAGTGATCTTAAATTTTGCAACTTTTTCCCCAATTTGGCAAGTTGACAATAAGTGTTTTTTTTTTTCCTAGACTTTGTCGACTAATTACTTCACAAAACAAAAATAAAAAAAGACTCTCGTGTGGTTGACACGCGCCTCCGAGTAGCGCGTCACGTGGCATGTCTGGTTTTATTACAGCGTATCCAAATTGTTTATCTGTTAACTGTTACGTGTGGGAAATGGAGGGCTTATTTATCCATATTAATCAGACAACACACAAAATATTCCAAAGTTTAG